GTTCACAACGTTCAAGAACGTTCACAACGTTCAAGAACGTTCACAATGTTCAAGAACGTTTACAATGTTCAAGAACGTTCGAACGTTCAAGAAACAGCACAAGCTAGCACAAAACTTTCTTTGAACGTTTTGTGCTAACTGGGAGATGCGCACAAAATTTTCATTGAGAACCTTACCAAGTCCAACTTTTTAGTGTCTTTATTGGAGCAGGTGTAATTGTAAACACCCCAGCACTTATCAGGGCATTTATTTTTTGGTAATATTGGTAGGCTAAGTTTGAAGTTGACTTCGTCCATGTTGAATCAAAACTATGAATCAATTTAAAGTTTAAACTAATATTTTAAATCTTTATTCAAGTAAGGAAAAAAGTTATTAAGCAACTATAAATAAACATTTATAGTTGATTAATAATTATGTTTTGAATGGAAAAGTAAAAATATTAAATGCAAACAGGTCCATCACTACAGGAAGACACGGCCTGCCTGCATATAGTTTGTGCCTGTGTCTTTCCATTATAAAAATATAATATAGTTTTGTCTACAACAATTCTGGTGTGCAAAAAAAACCTGTAAATAAATTTCTTTTAACAGGGCTGAATGGAACATAATAATTAATTTGAAAATTAACATCAATTTTTAATTAAATTTGTTATAAATAAAAAAAATTATAATTTTATTTAAATACTTTTTATTCGTACGTTTTTTACTTTAAATTTTGAGTTTTTCCTCTAGAATTTTTACTATTAAACTTTTTTCCCCGTCCATCAGTGTTTTCGCATTTCTGTGAAATGCCCATGCTTTCTTTTTTGATTGGACCATCACGAATCTTTAACGAAATTAACTTCTTTTGCTTGTTGTAAATGATCATTTACAACAAGCAAGCAAAATTTATATCAAGGATAATACTGCTTTTATTTAGAGTATCGATACTCAAAATGAAATTCATTTAGAGTATCGATTTTTTAAATGAAAGCGGTAGTACCGTTGATATAAATTTCTTTAATCATGCTATGATCTGCTTCTTTAAAAAATTTCATTTGAAACGGGGTTTGAGAATCATTGCAAATTTCAGACGAACAATATTTTTGTATTAATGAAAATGACTTTTGAAATCAGTTTTAAGTTTATTAACAACAATTTTGATTCCAGTTGATTTGTCCCTAGCATAGTGAATAAACTGTGTGATCTCTGATTTGTCTGCTCTTACCTTTCATAGCGCTTTCAAAGTGTTTTAGCATGCATACAATTATTGCAGCATGCTGCTAATAATTTTCTGCATGTAATCTGCTTCTGTAATTATAAAATCATTTATTATTCATATTTTTGAATGGAAAATAAGAAATAATTTTTTAGCGTACGTTTCAAGCGCAAAGAAACTAAATACAAGTTACAGTGAAAATAGGTTTTAGTAAAAATAACAGCGGAATAAAATTAAAAATAAAACTTAAAGAATTATAAAAAACTACCCATTAATTTTGATAAGCAGGCATGACGTATGCCGCGGCATACGTCAAGAAATCAAAGCAAAGGAGCAAATTACAAGTAGTAGAACTTTAGTAGTTATATTCTAAGCAATAAAATTATTTTATATTTAATATAAAAGTAGCATATTACCTTTAATCACCTAAAAAAACTTGCCGAAGCCAATGCTTCGGCAAAAACTGACCCTGGCCGAAGCTTCAGCAAGTGTCAAAGCTTCGGCATGCCGACGCCGAAGCTTCGATACATCCCTAGTTATTATTAACAATTATTAGAACGTAACGGTATCTCCTCCTTTGTGAAATATTTTAAACCAATTGTGTTAAAAATTATATTTGAAATTATTGAATTATATTATACATTTACCGTTACATTTACTTTCAAAATGGCTCATGTCACAGTCAATGTCACAAGTACTTGTGTTGAATTATTTAATAGTCGTAACAACATTAATTTTTATTTAATTACAAACAAACAATAACTTTAATGGTTTTTAAAAAACTTTAATGGCTTCTTTAAAATTCACTGCACTTAGGCTTCTGTTACGTAAGTATAAAAAATATGGCGTCCAGAATTGCGTTTTTACATATTGACCATCATTTAAAGTCATACTTCCGTTCTTATGTCTATATATATATATATATATATATATATATATATATATATATATATATATATATATATATATATATATATATATATATATATATATATATATATATATATATATATATGTATATATATATATATATATATATATATATATATATATATATATATATATATATATATATATATATATATATATATATATATATATATATATATATATATATATATATATATACAAATGATTTATTCAAAATATATTTAATTCCATCGTTTTATGATGGTTGTTTAATTTTGCTTATGTTTTATGTTTATTATTTAAAATATTTTTCATTTTAAGTTTTAAAACCTTTATTTCCTATGATTCTTTTTTTCTTATTATTTTACTTTATTATTTAAGTTTATTATTTTAGTTTAGGTGCTGAAGTTTCCAAAAAATAGATAGTTAACATATTGATATATGTAAATAACATCAAAAAAATATTTACTACATAGAAGTATGGATCCACATGGAGAAAGTACAGAATTCATGAATACCCCTTCAAATAGTGGTTCTACAACTCGTCATCAAATTTACACACAGAGAGATGCACCAAGACCTTGTTACTATTTCTTTCGCTTATTAGGAATGTGGCAACCGACAAATGCTTTTCATATATTTAAAGTATACAATTGGATTATATTTACTCTAGTTTTTATAAATGCTTTCCTTATATTCATGTTAAGCTATGTACATTCATCCAGATTTAAATTCGCTGAGGTATTTAATAGCATTGGTTCGATATTAAACTTATGCTGTCCCTTTTTGTTTGCAAAATACTATTTTCGGTATGGCAATTTTGAACGAATAATCAAACACATATATGAACAAAGCACTGAAGAAGATCTAAAGAAGCTGCGTAAAATGAGATACGTTTATACTTTTTTATCATTTATTATGTGGACAACAATGTCGTTGTATTTAATCAAACATTGGGAGCGTTTTTTTAATAATCATTTCCTAAGTTATCAACTAACTGCTGCAATTTATATACAAGTCGTTGTAACAACCATTGGTTGGTGGGCTTCTTGGCTTAGTTTATATGGGTATGTTTGTCACATTCATGTTCATCAAATAGAATTGTATGACAAGCATATGAAAGATACATTTTCAAAAGCTAACAACACGAATGATGAATGCATCGGACATTTGTTGTTTGAGTTTAATGAGCTTCATCATTGGCTTGAATTTACACAAAAAGATTTTTCTAAAATAATATCGTTTGCCGTCGCGTACCATATAATGGATATATTTGTTTTCAGCTATGCTTACTGGACAGATTCGTTTGGAAAAAATTATTCTATTTATAATTTTGTAGGTACCATTTTTTTTGACAGTATTAGCATTGCAATAAAACTCTATCCTGCTGCACTTGTCTGTAAAGCTGTGCATGAAATAGTTATTTCAGTTGGAATTCAATGCATGTCAAATTGTACATCTCACATACCCAACGAGCGTTTTTCTTTTTACAGACATTTATTTTTTATAGAGCAAGACATGGGTTTTTTAATCCTCGGTGTTAAAATTACAATGAAACTAACAGTTGGAATATTCGTTACACTTGCTACTGCCTCAATTACATTTATTAAGTTTTTATTACCTACAAATAACGTATAATAAATAAGTATTAAAAATGTAATTACCTGTAATCGTGTTTATTTTGGTTTTGTTAACTTAATTTTTCATTTAATTTTTTATTATATTTATATTATATAATTTTTCTATTTAACGTATATTATTTTGTTTTATTGTTTTTTATTTCTATATTACCTATTAAATTTCGTGATTTTATTTGAAGAGCAATATCGGTTTTTCTGTTTTTTATTTTAAATATATTTTATGTTTACATGTAACTTATATTATTTAAGTAAACACTATAACTTTTAAATAAAGTTATTGACTTTTTTTTATCATTTAAATTGTTAAAACAACATTTTTAAAAAAAACCAATCAACATAAAATAGTATAAATTTTTGGTACAAAGCTAGAAAATAGGCAAGGAAGGGATAGGAGTGTTTATCCGTTCGTCGATCTTGAGAACTTTCATTTGTATAGACTAGCATTCCGGACCCGTAAAATATGGATCTTGGTAAGTCTATTATACCTCGATCATTTTTATGCTCATGCCTCTCTTCAGTTTTTTTATTGTCTATTTTTTAAAGTTATGAATGAAAAAATAATTTAAAACATAACTTTGAAAAACTTTAAACGCTTCGGTAATGGTTGCGCTAACCGCTATATAGTGTTAGAAAATGAATCTGTCAAATCTTTGTTTTAAAAAAACAGTTAAGGGAGAAACCCCTTTAACTTTTAAATTAATTTTAATGAAAAAAAAATTTGTCAGACCAATAGCATATATAAAAAAAATTTAAAAAAGTATTTAAAAAAAAAAGGTAACATGTTGTTATGGAAACCATAAAAAAAGTACCAAAAAACAGCAAAAACAGGTTTCACGCCATCCAATATTGTTGACAGGGAACAAAACAACCCTAGTTGAAATTTTATATGGTATTTATATAGAGTAGAAGAGTGATTTAATTTTTTTTTACAAATATATGCTTTTTGAAGTCAAAGCCCAATATTTAACAATATAATATAAAAACAGCATAAACTGCAGGTGTAAAAAAAGTTCCTCCATTGGGCATAGGCTGTAGGTTTTGTTTTTAAAAGTTTTTTCTTCAAAAAGAAACCTTTGCTGAACCTGTACATTGGTTCCACATTCAAAACTTTTCAAGTGTCCGTTGATAAGGCATAAAAGACACCGTTTAATGATGCAAAGTCTTTTCTCTGCCAAATACCATCACAAGACACATTAATATCAAAAACTCAAACACTAGCAGCATGTTTAGGCCATTTGTGTGAAAGCAACTATTTTCACAGATAATTTGTCATAATTATTTTGTGTCAATGGCTGTGGCTTATTCATTAAAGTGGTGAATATTTTTATACCAGAATGTCCCTGTCGAAGTGCATCCATTGTGTATACTGTTCTACAATTAATATCATATTCTCTGTTATATTGTTTTGAAATATAAAACTAATTTTCATATTTGCAGTTAAAGCAATTGATAAGTAACTTAGAGGCAAGTCCTTTTTTGTCTTGCATTTTTTCTGGCAATGACAAAGATAAACACTTTCCACATTGAGGACATGCTAAAGCACTAAATATGTCAGATAGTATAGAGCAATCTATAATCCTATATCCAGATATTTTCATTCTTGTAAAAGCTCTGGAACATTGAATAGACTTTATCTTCTTCACAGATACAAATGTAGGAAATAAATTTAATCCAGATTTGTTGTTTATTAAGTCATTATTAACAATTGTAGTATTTGAATCAATAAAAACTGTTCTTTAAATAACAAGAAAGAATATAAAAAAGATAAAAGTATTAATGAAACTTATTGTTGACTATCAAGAACTTCAAGCAGGATTTTTATTCAACTTCATTTCAGTGTTTCCGTTGAGCCGGGATAGCTCAGTTGGTTAAAGCGCTGCTATAAAGTTTGTAATAATAATTGGCCGTAGCAGCAGGATTGAAGGTCCAAATCCCGGCTCCGCCTACTCAGCGTATGAGGTCCAAAGGGAACTCGTCTCGATTAGCTCTGCTATTACGATGTTTCCATCTCGACTAGTAAATAAATAATCTATTCGAGTAAAAGAAAATAATCGTTAAAAAAAACAAAAAAAATCGTTTTCAAGACTTTTAAACTTCTTCCTTATGAAACCTCTCCTCTTTTTTTATTTATTTATTGTTCTTGATTTTATTCCACGTGGTTACGAATTTTTTAAAAAATATTAAGAAAACTGACAGCTTTAAAAGCTTCAAAATAACAGAAAACTGTAATCTGACTTGATAAACCAGACTTTTTTCGCTCGCTAGATAAGTAAAGAAGCCAAACCAAGCATTTTATAGCAGCAATTTAAGAATACACATCAGTTATAAGGATTTTAAATAAGGTGCTACACCGTTGCTAGGGTACGAATTTTGAGTTATCTGAGGGAAATGCAAAATATGAAGAAGTTAATGATGAAAATTAGTTATTAAACAAATAATTTTGAATTCTGCATACATTAAAGTGCATAAATAAGTAAAAATATTATTTATAAATTTTGGGTAAACTTAGGGCGGCGGGGGGTGTTCCCCTTAATGTTCAATACTTTAGAACTTCTCATTGTAAAATTTATTAAAATAAAAGGAGCTTATTAGGAATCTCTCCCCATTTTTTAATTTTGAAGAAAATCAAAGCTTGAATGTTAAGTTTTATTTCCTATAAAAAAAAAGTTGTCTCTTTAATGTGTCTTGAATGCGTAGTCTTAACTTACTACCTAACCACATTAATAACTTAAGCATCTCTAACCTGACGTAAGCGCATAATATTTCTACCACCGTTTTTATGTATTTCAATTTTAAGCTTTTTAAAAACTCTCTCCCTTTTGTTTGTTATAGCATATTATACCTTTATATATCAACAATAGAACTTTAAAATATTTTAATTTGTATCTTATAAAACTGGAAAAGATTTTTAAAAATTATTATGCAAGCGACAAGATTTGAACCCTCACGTTGTACTTTGGCCACTAAAACACCAAACTTATTTTAAAACATTGTTTAAAAAACAAGGCGGAATGCAATGAATAGCTATAAAAAATTGCAAATAAATGCTTCAGATTAAAGTTAAGTAAATTTTGCCGCAATGCAATTTTTATATAAAAATAAAACTTCTTAAAAACAAAGATATCTATTGAACTTCAAAAATTTTACATTTTTTATTTTTAAATTTAAAAAATACAAAAAAATAAAAAAGTGGAAAATCAAGGATTTAAACCACGGCAATCCACTTCTGAATGCTGCCACCTAACAACTTTGGCCACTATGATGTGTTGTTCGATGAAAATTTTAAAAGTATTTAATGAACAAAATTCTTCAGAAAACGGTAAATTAGTGCTATAAATCAAAATTAAGGTGATATTGTATATTAGGCAAATCTTTTTTAAAGTAAAATTAAAGCTGTAAAACTTGATATGTTTTAACATAACTTAAATTTTCATAAATTAGATATATGCGTATACTTTCGTTCACATTTACTGATGCAAAAAATGCTGCGACTTTTTCTCGCCATTAACTCGGGTGTAATGGCTGCCGTGAGTACCGTGTCAAAGATTCACGAATGGGTAACGGTGTCACGTTAAATACAGGGTTTCCCACTTCATTTCGACAATGTATCATTCAATTTCGACATTGTATCAGTACCTTTCGACAATGTTTCATTCAATTTCGACACAGTTGCATTTGATTTCGACTGTTTTGCATTCAATTTCGACAGCGCTAATAATACTTAAACTAATATACAAATAAAGCACTTAGATTCTTTCAAAATTCATTTAGATAATATAATTTTTTAGTTTGGATACAAACTAAAATCTAAACAAAAAAATTATCGTATATAAAATATTGTAATTGCAAATACTTGCTAATAAAAATAAAAATTACAAAAATAAGTTTAGTCTTCAATAACTCGTTCTCTTCTTGAACACAGGAATCATATACCTCAGTACGTGCGCAAAATAATTATTACAGTTTGTGCTAGTAATATTCAATGCACCGTTTTGTATATTTTCAAGTAGTTCCTCCTCAGTCCTAGACGAACATCTTCTGATAAACTGTTTCCATTCAGAAAACATATTTTCAATAGGGGGAATATGGAAGTAAAAATATCAAAGAACGCCCAGCACGTACTATTTCATTATGAATAACAGCAGTTTTATGCATACGAACATTGTCTAAAATTAAGATAGCTCCAACAACTTCATTAACAGCTAATTGTGCTAATACTAAACAAATAAAATCTAAAAAGCTTTCTGTATTAAATGCTCTTGTTTGTGATTCATATTTCAAAATTTGCTTTTGTTCATTGCACAACAGACGAAAATATTTTTTAACCGTATATTGGTCACTGTTTTTGTGACCCTCTTTTCAGCTAGAGAACGTCCTCTTCTAACTTGCATTGAAAGACTAAATCCTACTTCGTCAATAAAGAATATTTTATTGTCATTCATAGAAGACAAAATGTTCATGAATTTTTCTGCATAAGAAACTCTTTCATTAATAACGTCTTCCGAATTTCTTCTCTCTGGAATATTGTGAACACGTTTCAAAGTATAATTAAAACTATCAATGCATCTTGCTATAGTAGATTGACTGACTGAAATGGATTTTTGTTCAAAAAGTCTTTGTTAAGTTTCCTTAAGAGTTATTCCACAACTATTATCAATTCAATTTTTGATTAGTACCTTGGATTCTTCTGTTAATTTTTTGTTTCTAGAACCACCTTTTAATTGCCGTTCTATCGGCAAACCATTTTTATATTTTTTGATAATCGAATAGATTGTAGTTCGTTTAAATCCAAGAATATTTGCAATTTCTGATGGTGAGTTTCCATTTAAGTAAGATTCAATTATCCTTGAACGGTTTTCATTGTTGATTGTTTGATTCGGCATTGCTGTTTATAAATATTGAAAATGATATTTAAGCTTTTATTATGAACTCTTGTTGTATTGAAGAGTCAAATGCTTTTATTTACTTAATAAAAAATTATAACATTAATTTATTTTGTGATGACAATTTAATTATGTATTGTTGGGTTATTTTTCAAAGCGTAGATATTTTTTTTTT